AGGAGTAGGAGGAGGAGGAGGAGGAGGAGGAGGAGGAGGAGGAGGAGGAGGAGGGGGAGGAGGAGAGAGGGGAGGAGGAGGAGAGGGGAGGAGGAGTAGGAGGAGGAGGGAGGAGGAGGAGGAGGAGGAGGGGGAGGAAGGAGGAGGAGGAGAAGAAGGAGGGAGGAAGAGAAGGAGGGGGAGGAGGCAGGAGGAGGAGGAGGCAGGAGGAGGAGGAGGAGGAGGAGGAGGCCGAGCTCGGGCGCCTCCGCCCGGGCACGTGTCGCGCGAACGCTCCGGAGTGTCAGGCGCCTGCCCTCCGACCTCGAGGCCGAGGTCGCGCGCCGCGCGGTCCAGGCAGTGCCTGTTGCTTGGTGTCGGGGCACGTTCTCGGGGACGCCTCGCCAACGCCTCACGTCATCAGGGAGCTGTCAAGGACGGGCTGAGGTTTCGTCTTTGCGGGCGCCCCTGGATGAGTGGTCACGTCTGCGTCTGGGACAGTCCGTGTCCCGCTCCAGCTTCCCCCACGGGCTGCGAAGTGCGAGGCGTGCTCAGCCGCTGCTCAGCGCCTGCCTGGGATGGTCCGCCATCCCTGATGGGCCTACGATGGGCAGTGCGGATTGGTAGAGAGTGGTCAAGGCCCACGTTGCTCCCGAGCTAGCTCGCTTTCCTCGTCGGCGCAAGTATGGTGGAGACCCATGCCACGAAACACCATGCTTGCCTCCAGGGTACCCTGGGTTTCGTGGGTTTCGATGGCTTTGCTATGGAAGGCGTGATGTTCCCACACCAAGAATCAATGGACGTCATGGGGTCTCAGGGTTGGGTTTCTTGTGGAAGGTTTCTTGTGGACTGGCCTCCACTGTATGGTGACAAAGCGGTTCCCCCCCTTTCGGAGCATTGGCGTGACGTGCTCAAAACTCCAGCGCACCCTTGCGGATTTGCCAGACATCACAGGCGAGCACATGTTCTTTCAGGTTGGCAGCGATGCTGACAACGGAGCGGCTGTGCACGGGACCTCTCTGCATCAGCAGCCAAGCCAGGACGATAACGATCGAGTCGGCAAGTTGGCCCGGCACCGCCGAGCCGTTTGCCGTGTAGCTCTTGTTGTCCTTCCTAGCTGGCCCATGCTTGGACTTCGTGCAACCATGCGTGATTCCCCGACCTCGCTACGACGACGACGACGACGACGACGACGACGACGACGACGACGACAACGACGGCAACGACGGCAGCAACGGTGGTCTGGTCTGAGCCAGAGCGGCTGCCCTTCTCCAAGGGAGCGTTGCTAGGGCCAGAGGGCGCGAACAGAAGCGCGCGTCGCGCATCGCGGGGCGCGTGGCGCGAGGCTAGGCGACTTGGGAGTCGAGGCGCCTGGAGCTGCCAATGCTCGTCGGCGAGCCCTGGGGGGAAGTGGAAGGCCAGCGGAAGCCGGCGGAAATAAGCCGAGGCCGCCTCCGCCAGCGGAAGCCGGCGGAAGGCCTGCGGAAGCCAGCTGAAGTATTTCATGCACCCCAAGTGGTGGCAACATGTTGGGTTTCAGGGTTTCCGAAGCCCGCCATCCGCTTGTATCTCTCAAGTATACAATTCGCCTCCGCCAGCCTTTCGACCCCCATCGCCCTGGCAGGCAATTGTCTGGGTCGTTTTGAGCGAATCCAGCGGGGTCCTCGCCCCAAGATCCAAGGGGATGTGGTTGGTGTCCTCCCTTCTGATGGAGAGTTCGAGTGGTCATCACTGCTCGCCATACGTCGCCGCGCCAGTTGTTCCGACGCGCGGCCTTGCGTCTTGGGGAAGGCCCCTCGGCCACCACGGCAAACGCAGCCTCGGGCGCGGTGGGCTCGCCGTGGGTTTGCCGCGGTGCCAGACTCGTCTTTTGGAGGCGCGGGACGCAGGGTTGGCCGTGAGTGTGCCGTGGTGTCGGCTGCGTCCACTGAGGCGCGTCGAGGACAAATGGCGCGGCGACATATTCTTCCTTCAGTTGAGGCTGTAGGCCGATGTAAAGCAGAAATAATGAGAAACGTCACTCATCTCATCTTCTTTCCTCCCGTCTTCTCTGCTTTCCTCCGTTCTTATCAGTTCCCTCTCCCGCCAGCTGTTCCAGTGCAAAGGGCTCATACCCCCCCCATCAGGGCAGCGAAACCAAGCCAGATCATGGGCGCAACAAGCGAACTTTTGGCGCATCTTCTCAACGGGTCGTCCCCCATCGGGCTTCCTTGCGCCAAGCTGTTTTTCAACAAGCCGACGCTCGCAACAGCATGGGCGCTGGCGTAAACCTCTGGAGCAGGCCCTGAACAGGTGTTCTGGCGGGCTTCGGGCATCAAGGCTCCCGAAACACGTGGCTGCAGTTGTCCCGGACTCGTCAACGTCCTGGTTCAAAAAAGGCCACGTTCAGGAGGTTTTGCAATTTTTCCCCAAGTGGGTTGAGACGGGCATGTCCCTCTACAGGAGGAAAAGTCAAGAATAGAGATGAATAGTCCAGCGAAGATTTTTCGTGCTCTTTTGTTTATGTTGGACTATGATTCGA